TTTATACAGACATATATTCATAGTACTACAATTATAGTTAAAATCAGTAGTTCCCATCTACTGAATGGGGACATACGGGGGCAATATTTTATAGCCTATAATCTACCTTTCTAGGCTGTAGTTTTTATAGACCTCTTTTGTTTTGCTCAAAGTAGGATGCGTGGCTCTTCCTTCTTACACATATGCACATACTTTGTTGTGTACATGAAGCCTGGAATGACCTCTTTGGCTTCTTCTCAGATGCAGTCAGTTTCTGCCCAGTCCAGGACCAGGTTCACTGAGCCAACACCACCAGAAGTTTCTTCCTCCAAGGTAAGATGGGAAGGGTCCATGCTGAAGAGCACACACACTGCACTTTCTGGAGCCTAACCTTGGACTGTCTAGGAACTTGGTGCTGCTTTCTCCAATAGACAGAGATCCTTGACCTCCTTTCTGGAAGCTGGAAGAGAAGGCAGATTTACAAGAGACTTGATGACCTGCTCTCGAGAGTAGTGAGGAATCCACTGTGTTTTGAAATATGAAGTCAGTTCTGGTCCAGGTGGACAGTTTGGCATGGAACTGGAAAGAGCATCCCTGTTGAATGGGGTGGCCTGTCTTGGCTGTCCTGCCTGTCACTCTGGCCTGGGTGTGAGCTTCAGCCAGGCTGATGCTTCCAGAGGTTTGAATACTAGGAGTCAACTCATTTGAAGATCCTACTTGTGATTTTGGTGCACAAGCAAATGTGAGCAACAGAGTCCTGACTTTCCTCCTCTTCCCACCTGCTTCCACTCCTGCCCTTGGCCTGGACCTACTACAGAGAAGGTGTCAGCTGAGGCAGACATCATCAGTGCACTGGCACCCAGCAGACTCTCAGGTCTGCATTCTTACTCCCGTTGCAACTTCTGCTTCTCTTCTCTCACACTTCCTCAGTACTTCCCAATTTCTTAAGCCAAGAATTAGAAAAAGGAAGAGGGGCAGGCTGAAGAGCACTGAAACTGCCCATGGAACAGAGATCAATCCAGGAAAAAGGGAGGCAGGGACAATAGGGAATTTTGAGAGTAACTCAGCAAGGCACTGACATCAAAAGGGACACATTCAAACGAGCGGACTAACTCGGCACACAAGCTGCAAAATATGAGACAGAGAGCAATTACAAATGGAGCTGTCCATGCTGCACAGAGATTAACATCGGCTGCATCAGGAGGAGAACTGGTGCCTTTGTATCTGAGGATCTCCAATGAATCCTTTTACTGTCTTAGCTGACTCAATCATGCAGCAACTATTTCACTAATAAGCTGATTCCCCTGAGACCTTTGGTGACAGAGATAGAAACAGAAATGATTTGGTCTTGTAACCAGAGCAACTGTCCTTGTAAATCCACCATGTAGGGAACAAGATCATGAGTAAAAGGTGTAGGCTCCAGGGGCACCCAGCCTGCATTATTCCTCAGGGACAGCAAATCTCGAAAGCATTTGTATGGGGCCAGGCAGCAGACTTCCTCTGTGAGCTTGGACTTGGCTTGCTTATACTCACACAACTGGATCCGGGTATGGGGATATTATGGAACCTTAGGAGCTGGGCATGTGTTTTTTTTCGTATGGCCTCAACCACAATCTGACAATGTGACGGTTCCTCAGAGCCAGCCCTTACACTAGGTCTTCCATGCCATCACATGCGGTAGATGAGGCTGGTTTGGAAGAGGGGAAAGATGGGGCAGAAAAGGAGGAATGGCATTGACTGAGTTGCTGCTACTTTGGGACAGGCAAAGAGTGTGCCAGGGAGTTTCATATCGTACCTTTTCTGATACGCTTCATGGTGATATCATGGAGCAAGCTGGGACTACCTTTATGTTGTAGGTGAGTGAGATGCAGCTGGTGGAGATTTACTACATGCTTGCAGGCACATATGCAGGCTATGGCAGAACCAGAATTGAAACTTGGCCTGCTCTGAACTGACAGACTCTTGAGCAACGTGTAGGGGGACCTGGCCTCATGTGGTTCTTGCACAGATGGACGTAACTGACAAGGCCACTTGGACATGGACTGACAGCCAGGCTTTCTGCTGCGACCCAGCCCCCTTTTAGAAGGGCCTCTCTGGGATCGTTGGGAAAACATTGAACAGAATTAAATGTAAATCTATATTCTGAAGTCATGTTCCTCCTAATCAAAGGTAGGCTCTCTGATGAAGCTTGGAAGCATAAAAACCTTCCTAGAATATGCAAGCAGGTGAGCATCAGACTGTACCATATAAATACAGACAGGACTGTGTCGCTCTAATGTACAGGTAAATGATAAAAACAGAAACATATTTAAACCTGCTCAGCTCAGGGTGCAGCTCTTCTCACATCACCCAGTAAGCAAAGGTCTGACCTTTTGCATTAGACATGGGGAGTGCCAAATCCCATCTGGGCGTGGGACAGCTGTGCCATCTCCCCTCTTCCCCGCTAATTCATCTGCTACTTCCTGCTGTCTAATCAGAGAACCACTCTCCACCCTTCTGTCACAACAAGCAATAAAGGCAGCACCTTTGAAAGACAAAAATCAAAATACAGAGGAAATAGAGGATGAGAAATAAAGTTGCAGATGGATGATCCAAGGAGCCAAAGTTCCTATGGAATTAAAGTGGGAGGCAGAGAAAGGAAATCAGGCGTCCCTTGTGGATGGCAGTAGGTATAATTAAATGACTCAGGAAAATGCTGATGGTGCTTAAACATCTCCACCTGGAGGTTTTGCAGATCCTAGAAACGGAATGCGTCAAAAACTGCACAGAACTGCATCAGACTCCTGTTTTCAAGAGCATCCAGTTTCCATCCAGTTGGTTGAACTGAAAGCATTGAATACTCGCCAAGTTTGAATCTTCTACCACTTTAGCTTCTAGTGGCTTACATCAAGTCCACCTTCAAAAAGTCTTTCCAGCTTCTTTGCTTCTTCCTAGTCCCGCTCACCCTGTTTCATGTGGTTTAGATATTTTCCTCTTGCAATTTTGATTGATGCCCAATTAACTTGCCCTGATGCTTGGGAGATCTTTCTAAATTGTAAACCCAGTCTAGTCAGGCTCCTGCTGAAGTGCTTCTTATTTCTATTGTTTGTTTTGGGGCAAATCCCAATGTCTCAGCATTTCCTGTAAATATTTTAGGGAAACACTGGACCTTGCCCCACCCCCAACTTGTCATCTGCCCCACAGCCTCTCACGTACTTCCTGAGCTCAGGCTCCTCTGCCATTGCAGTTCCTTGACCTTGCTGTGCTTCCCACACCTCCATGTGTTCACCAGGAACGACCCTCTGCTGTTGCTCACTTGGTCTTTATTCCCCCAGTTCTTGGCTAGTTTCTTCTGCTCCTGTAAAACTCAACTCCGTGTCCCCTGTTCTGAAAGTGTGCCTGAATGTCTCCTGTCTTGGTTATGTGCTGCTTACTGGGCTCTTCTGGCTCATGCACAAAATCTACTGTGTTGTTTTAAACCTTCACACATACTGGAGATGGGGCTCAAGGGCCTCATGCTTGCTAACTGTGTGCTTTACCACTGAGCTACCCCCTCCACCCATAGCTCATGCTACAATTCTAAGTCTGGGCTAGTACTTTCTAGAAGATAGACATTCTGCTTCCCAGCTTGTATCCACTGTATCTCTCTTCTGTGAGCTACACAATACATGTTTCTTAGAGTGCAAATTTGATTCTCCTCCATTTTTCAGTGCTTCTGTGACATTCTATCCAGAAAACTCACTGGTGCCATTTTCCAAGCTTATGTCCTTAAATAATCCAAGACTCAGAAATGTGTTCCTGCTTTTTGAATTTCTATCAAGGAATAACATATAAAATATGATTTTTATTTTATAAGGAAGCGAATGCAATCGAATTGTTCTTTTATAAAAGCTCAGGAAAGTGAGAACATAGAGGAGAACCCTGAGGGAAGATGGAAGAAAAAGCTAAAGTTGATTTTACCACCAACTAATTTGCACCAGGTTCTCTGCCAACACTCTTGCCTATTTGCATCTAAGAATCTAACCCTCAAAGCTGATCTTGTAAGGTGGCTATAATGAGCATCATGTTGCCAAAGATGAGACTAGTGCAGAGAAGGAAAGAAATAGGTCCAAGACAAAACAACTCATCGCTTGTTAGTACGTAATTGAAAAGTAAGTTTACTCAAACTACAGCAGCACACCATGTTTCTGAAGAAAATACCTGGTGTGAGGAACTCCCTCTGACTAAATGAAAGAAAATATATCTCAGAGGAGACAGCAGTTAATGGAAAGGTAAAAGCTATAAATATCCCTATCTTTGAAACACGAGATGCTTTTAAACACTTAAATGCAAATAAGGTAGGTATTTCATTCCAAACCACTGAGCTTTGGGCAAGTCTTATCTGGAGAAGCTCAGTTCAGGGGCTCATTCATCAGTCCACACTTATCCTGTACTGACAGCCTTCCGTCTGTGGCCAGCTCCCAATCATGGCCTCTTCCTTCCCTCCTCAGCCAGGCTCATGGTGCTTTGACATCTAAGGGAAGATAAGATGCAAAGTAATCCTGCCTGGGAATGGAACTTTATATATCTAGCCATATTTGACATTCTAGGTGTTACCTCATCCCTCTGGGAGGGCTTATTTCAGCCTTATCACCAACTGCAGTTTGGCTGCTTGCCCATCTTTAGGTTTAACTCTGTTCGTCCTACTCATTTATTTAACACATACTTATTTACTTCATCATATATTCTTGAACACAGAATCCACTACAGTCCTCCTATTCTGTTTATCTTGTAGAATATGTCTGTGAGCTATGTCTACTGCCTGTCTTAGTTGTTTACACAGAGCTTTTTGTTGCTGGGAAAAAATAGGTGAAACTAAGGAAGTCTCCTAATTATCTCCCAGCATTTGTTCTGCATTATGCAACCAGAACAGATATGAGATTCCCTCATATCTCTGCCATAATGCTTGGCATCCAATACCATAATTTTTTCTTTCTGTACAACTTATTTTAAAATCTTAAATGTGAACTCCTTCAAGGAAGTCTCTGACTAAATGTGATGCATGAGTGATGAATACATAAATGGTGGAAAAGTAAGGGAAAGCAAGAGGTTTACTAATGGATAGATAAATGTATTTAAAGAAGGTAGCATCGTTTGTATTTTTAGAGTTTTGGTTTTTCAAAATTGGTCATGGGATTTGATACCAATTAATGTCACTCCTTGATTTTCATCAAAGTAAGTAATTTATTCAGCAGCAAAATGTAGAAAAAAGGGGTCCTCAGTAGTTGGGGTCTCTCTTGTCTGTTTCTGCACACATTTGCTAATGTGTTCATTACATGACTGCCACCTGAGTGTAATAAAGGTAAGCATCATATAGTTTCTTCTCTGTTTTTTCATTTGGCTTCCAAGTCTCCTTTCACTTTCTACTGGAATTCACCTTGACAAAACAAAAAAAAGTATACTCTTAATATGTCTCCACAAGTACTTCTTTATGCATGTTATGAATAGGGTATATTTTGGATGAAGATAATGAAAATACATCTCAGTATTTAGCTGCCAAGTTTAAGAATAACTAGATAGCCTCTCTTGTGGGATAGAAAGATAACAGCTAAGATTCCATTACCTCGAAGTGGCCTGGGAAATAGGTATGTCTGCCAAAGGCTAGTTGGAGTATGCTTGGAAGATGGATTGACAGGCAGGGAATGGATAGGTCTCTTAAGTAAATAGGTGGGGAACAGTCATGTTAGGAAGGTGCATGATTGTATGGAGAGAATTAGGGTTATATAAATGGGGAAATAATACATGAATAGCTACGTGAGTGGTTGGCTGATGGAAGAATAAATTGGTACACTGATGTTTGATGGAGTTGAGTGACCAGATGAAATAAAAGGCCAGCGAAAGAGCACATGACTTGATAAGTGTGGTATGAACAGAGAAATGGGTGGTTAGGTGTAGCGGTGGAAATGATAATGAGAAGGAAGGAAGAAAAGAAGAGAGAAAAGGAAGTACTGAAGGTTGGAGATAGGGGACTGAATTCCATTTCCTTAATAAGTCATGACGTTAAAATAAAACTGAGGAAAATGGAAACTATCAATCATGGTTACCTAGAGTTTCTAGTATTTACTTACCACTTCAATTCCCAAAGAGAATGTATCTAATCTATCAAGGATCTGTGTTTCATGCCCTGGGAAGACTGAGTCGTGAAAAGGTCTGAATCAACCCTTGTCTACAGAGGTAGTTGGCAAGAATAGCAACCTCATCGTTCTAGCTCAGAGTTTTTGTTTTGTGCCTGAGATGCTGTCTCTGCTGTGAAATTATCATCCATGTTCTGAATTCTCAGCCACTGCTCCTAGATTTTATTTGGGGAATGCCTTGAGAAATCTAGTGTGATATAAAGGGGGAGAGAGGAAGGGAAGAAAGGGGAGGGAGGGAGGCAGAGAACTGGGCCACAAATGTTTGAACTGTGGGTGTAACTAACTTCACAAATGGGGCAGATAGGGAAGGCAAGGCTGTGAAGTCCAGTAGCCATCCAAGACCACACGCTTAGCTCATGGCAGAACTAGAAAAGCTTCACAGAGACACAAGCAATTGATGAGAACCTGAGGTGTAAGAAAGAAATCAATATGCAATCCAGCAGAAAAGCAGATGAGGGTGTGATAAAGAACAAAGATAGAGTTTTATTGAAAAAGAATGGTGTTTTGGAGTTGGCACTGGTCATGGAGCATGTGCTCCAGGGCCCTTTGTCTTGTTAATTTTTTCATAGGTGTTCCAGCAAAGGCCAAGATAAACAAACATTAATTCAAAAGCACATACAATCAGGCGTGAATGTACACTGTCACCACTGTATCTTCTCATGCTTGTTCTTGTTAAAGTTGCTCTTACTTCCCTGGAATCAAGCAGCAGTGACTGTTATGGAGTAAAATGCCTAAACTGGACATTATGTGGTCATTGTTTTTCTGGAGCTTCACTTTTTTTTAGCCTAGGTCAATAAATAACTTAGACTTTGAAGATGTAGAACCCTTTAAAATTATTTGTAAATAGTATGAGATATATAGATATAATGTGAAAAATGCTTAACTACTGTCTCTGTGTGTGTGTGTGTGTGTGTGTATACATTGCAGTATGAGTGTGTAGAGTGTGTATCTGAGAAGGGGAGAAAGATAAAGAAGAAAGGAATGAAGAAGAGAGAGAAAGAAAGACAGACTGACGGACAGATAGACAGTCTTTTGATTGCATCTGCATCCCAAATCCTAAGATACACAGATTGAAAAGCATACCCTACTGCATTTTTCCATTCCTGGATCTCAAAGTCATGTCCTAATAAACAGTCCCCTAAAAGTTACAAACTTCTTCAAACTTTATTGATACACTGCACAATCACAACCATCTTGTATTCATCCCGAATTAGAAAAGGTTACAACTACAATGTAACATGCACAAAATTCAGGTAGTATATTCACCCTTAATACAATTATTGACAGAAATCAAGTCTTCATTGATTTTTGAAGGAAAAAAATAAGAAAGAAAATAAAAAGATAAAGAACTCTAGAAGGCTGACAAAGTCATACTTTTGTATTGTGTGATAAATTTTAAAGCATTTGAACATAGATTTGTTTTAAGGATAATTGTGAAAATGGGCACACCCATTGTTTGACAAAGCTATAACGGCACCATTGATAAGTCATATATATATTTTTTAATCTAGAGGACTCTGAACTTGACAGATACATTTTCGTACACCCACACATTCCTCACAACTGCACTTTACGTGTCACAAAAATTTCTGAAATGATTAAAAATGCTCCCTTTAACTAACACAAGGGAAGCTATTATTACTTATCATTGTTATTACTGATATCCTTATAAACCTGCCAAATAATGTAGGATGCAGCCCCATCAGTGTGGTAGAGGGGTCACAATCTTTATTCACCCAGTGGTGTGGAACAACTGTGTGCCTTGAAAGAGCACTGCTGGAAGGAACAAAAAGGAATCTCTTTCAAACTGCTGGAAAATAGGCTTAGCTGACTAGTTTCAGGATGAAGACAATTGCATCTAATTAAGTCCACTCCACTTTCCTTTGGACTCTGAGTGTTCTGCACCTGAAGGCTAAATTGCACTGGATCAGCTATATCGTGTTGCCACATCTTTTAATTGCAAATCTATTTCTTCCTCTTTTCATTTACTTCTCTTCTCTTAAGTAAGAAATGAGGAAAATGAGACTGGCATTCTTATTTGTTTGCTTTTAATGATCATTAAGAGTTCTCATCGTATGATATCTTTATAAAAACATTGTCTTCCTACTTGTACACCTGTGAAGTTTTACTGTAACTACTCAAACATATTTGTCTTAAAAGAAAGAAACAGGGAATCCTTGCATAATAGGAGAGGAAGCAATTGGATGTGAGGAATAGGACTTGTGAAAAACACAAACAAAAGTTCTTGCTGCTGGAGAAAAAAAAATGCATCTTTCCAGCAAGAAACATTTTATGTTGCTTCCTCTAAAAGACTAAACTTCTTCATTTTTGGCTGCTTCTAGGTATTGCAAAGTGACTTTTTCTTGCCCTGGTAAGAACTCAGGGTCACCAGGTCTCTCCTCATATTAAACCATCCTCTCCACCTTCTATGATGGGACCGATGACAGCCACATACAACAGAGAAGATGGGACTATAGGACCAGAAGCATCAACCATCAGTACTCAGCCAAACAGGATTCAGTTTATAGCTGCTCCTGAGGTGAGGGTATGATGGGCTATCTTTGGGATCAGCTGCCCACTTAAGAGTTCCTCTGCTTCTACTGTAAGTAGAACTTGCTAACTAATCTTTGTGGAGAACACGCTGACCAGATTGCTACAGAAACAGATGCTTAAACTCAGCCTCTGGTGTGTCACTACTAGAGACCCCGAGCACACTTCACACCAGGTTGTGCAAACTAACCAATGTGTGAAGAGGAATGGATTTCAGAGGAAGATGCCCAGGCACCTTTGCTACCCACAGCCTTCTCTTTCCTTCTGCTCAACTGAGCACAGTTGCAGTCAAAGACAGGTGCACCATTTTGTGCATAAAATGTGTGCATGTTTTCACAACCACTCCCCTCCACCTCCACCTTCCCCAATTAAAACAAGAATGGGAAAAACTAAATACACTTGTTTAGACTTGCAGATGACTGTATCAGGCACTTGACATTAAACTAGGGAAATTACAAGCTTGGTTGAAGCCTTAACACTAGCACTTTCACTGGCATTACTTCGGTGGAATACATATGAACTCTGTCTAGAGAAGGGGAAAAGCTTCAGAGTAACTGCCATGCTGCTGAATTCCTCTTACCTCATATTTCCTGATAAGCCTTATTTGGTTTTCTATCCACAAGGAAAACTCACAATGAGCTCCAGGTTGTTCAGACTTATTTCTCTTTCCTGCCTGTACCCCCTCCCTGCCCCCACCATTGGCACCCTGAACAAATCTGTCCAGCAGGCCTTATCCACCCACCCTCCATGTGTACTTCTGAAAAAGCATATGTAATGTGGATGTTTTCCTTAATAAACATTTACTCTTCTGTTTGCTTCAAGATGTTGGGTAACAGCTACCATCACATGGAGCCATCCCCACCAAAGTAATTCAAATGGCACAGAAGCTAGAATATGTCTATTGTGAAGAAGAGTCACTTGCATACCCAGTATCTCACTTATCTTGGGTTTTGTACACTTGATTTGCTGTATCCCAGACAAAGGGAGGATGATCATAGTATGCTTTTCTCTCTGCATCATGACAGGAATAGGTCATCACCCTTAGATGCTTCCTAGCATCCAGTGGAAGGGGACAGAGTTCCATCCATAGTGACCCTGAGACCAGCCTTGGGGTGATTGCAAGGTTTTGATGATCTGCTTGCACAAAAGAGGACGGGGACAGAGTTCCATCCATAGTGACCCTGAGACCAGCCTTGGGGCGATTGCAAGGTTTTGATGATCTGCTTGCGCAAAAGAGGACAACCCTTTACTTTGGAACACATCTTGGAGTGGGAAATAGGCACAGCTTGTCTGTTTCAAGCACCATGCTCCTCATCCCCATGAAGCCTCCAAATTTACTTTACTCCAAAGTAACAAACTTAGTATCAGTCAAACATTCAAATGATGCATTTACTTCTCATACAATTTCTGAAACCAACCCAACTCTAGGTGCTGAGTGTTTTGACAGATCTGAAACATTTATGCCCAACCTTAAATTCTGACTTGGTGCATGCTCCCGATCATGTCTGCCACTGGATTTTGGCACATCAATTATATTCCCAGAATCTGGCTCCTCAGCAATACTCTAGGTAATACAGATGACCATTCACAGCTGGAAAGTATAACGTTAATTTTGTCCACATCAGTTCTACCTCTAATGACAACACCTAACTTTTTGTTTGCCCAAATAACCTGGGTTTGTATATATGTATATATGTATGTATGTAAGTGTATGCATGTATACACACACACATACACATATAATATGCATATACGCACATACAATATGTATATTTCCACACCTCGGCTGTCATGTTCACATTGCGATAGTGACAAACATAGAAAGGGCACTTATACTGAAGGAAGAGAACACTTAAGCACTGAGGAAATAGAATGCTATGGAGCTTGCATTTATTATTTCTTAGAATGTGGACCTGAAAGGTTTTCCAGCAAAGGCAGGGTAGGTCTGTAGGAACATCACTGTTGTACTTCATTCTTATCCTTCCCAGAGAAGTCCCTGCAGCACAACACAGTGTGGCTTCCACTGCTGCTTCTCTGAATCCCTGCCCCCTTGCTCATTGAGTCCTCCTTGTCTCAGGAGACCAAGAAGAAAGATTGTATCCATGCATCTTTGTAAGTGAGATCTGTTTGGAACCTAAGGAGCTGGGGACATTCTTTCCAAAAGCCCCTTGAGAAGCAGCTTGCATCAGAGGAAATTGTGTCACTTACACTTTTCTCCTTCTGTTTGCAGTGTTGTGTTAATCAAGTGCTTGGAAATTAAGTCAGTTGCTCAAGTGCCCTCAGCTCAGAAGAGCTTTCTGAAACAAATACCACAGTTGTCAACACACCCGCCATGTAATTGGCCTCCATCAGCTTTTTACTGGATAGTTTTCAAACAGATCAAACCAGAACTGGAGCAGAACAGAGCTGCTTAGCTGTAGTCTCTGCACTCGGGAGCATGGACTGCCGTCTTTACATTGAAAAAAGAGAGGTGTTTTCTTTCATGTTCTTGCTAGTGAGGAAAGCCAGCACTGAAGAAGTTCTTGTAAGCTCCTGACATGTGCTTTCATGAAAGGCTGATAGAAGCACAGAGCTTGGAACCTTAATCCTTCAATTATGTAGGAAGAAATTTGGTGCTCATCCAGGCTTCTCCAGGGCTAATGGTCTTCTAGTGGTTTCAGGAAACAATCTCCTCTGAAAACAGTGAGTGACTGATGTTTATATTGCTACTTCGGTCCATCTGATAACAGCATATAATCTGGGTGGATGGGTTACCATATTCCAGAGTCAACGACACAGGGTATTGCTTTTCTGTGTTGTTAGCCTGTGAGATCATTGGCTTTCATATGAGATGTTGATATGCAATTTTGAAGATGCCAATGTCTACTGATAGTAGAGAAGAAATGAAGATAGTGGGATAGATACAATATGATTAGAGATTAATATGATGATGAATTAGTAATGAGTAGCAAGGAGAGAAACAGAAAGAAACATTAGATAATTACATTGACAGATTGATAAACAGTAAAGAGATTGTTAGAAAGACAGGTGGGTAGATAATTGGATGTAGAAATAAATCAGACAATTGAGTTGATGCATAATCACATGATTACTTTGATAGATAGCTTGATAAAATCTAAATAACCAGCCATCTATTTATCATTTTTATGAGTTGTCTAGCATTTTTAAAAGAGAAGTACTATTCTTAATATACTTCTCCCCTTTTTGTTTTTGTTTTTCTGAATTTTTAGTTGTGGGTTGCATGCATAGCCCAAGCCTTTAATCCCTAGAGTCAGTGGAAGAAATGAATAGGACAGAGTGGCTAGAGAAGATGGCAAGATTTTATATGTGTGTGTGTGTGTGTGTGTGTGTGTGTATAGTATAGTGAAATAACTATAAAATATGTGAATCCTCATGAAATTAGGTAATAAACATGGAAGGAAAGATATGTACATTGTATTCAGGAAAATGGTTAAAAGGTCAAAAGACATAGAAAATAGGACAGATGGATGTGACTCTTGCTGTGTATTACATCATGAGTAACTTGTGTCTTCAGGGTGTTTGCCATGAAACACATTTTTCTGCTCATATGGAACTTATGGTGTGTGTGTGTGTGTGTGTGTGTGTGTGTGTGTGTGTGTGTA